ACTAGAGCCTTGGGACTGCAGCAACGCCCGGGACCGGGTGTGGGGCCAATTGCGCGTCCCCCGGCTTCCCTGCGCCCCCGGAGCCCGTTTTACTATGGAGGCCCAGGCGCCGCGTGCGGACTCTGAGTTCGCGCTCTAGTTGACAAGGGCTTTGTCACTTTTCCTACTCTGTTGCCACCAAGCGGTGATGACGCCGCTTCGGTCCTCACTTTGGTGACGCGAGGACAAATGGGTGACCACGTATACTTCGGAGCAAACTTTCTCCTACACCTGCTAACTGGCCACCTTTAACAGGAAAAACAGGAGAGCACACAAACTAGAAAAAAACCAAAACCAAACCACGCAAATACACACACAGTGCGCGCGCGCCTGCGCAGGGGTGAGAACGAGCTCACAGGAAGGTGGAACCAGCGCAAGACCTTAGCGCCAGGTTGGTGGTCTCCCTCTCACCGGCCGCCAGAGCACCCCGCGCCTTCTCCGCGCACCTACCCGCGGCTCCACACCTCGCTGCCTTCGCCCACGCTGCCCTCGGCGGCCGGGAAACCGATTTGGTGGTCTGAATACTTTGGGGACCCACCGGAGGGAGGCCTGATGCCCTCTCCCCCAGCGTCCTCCTCCAGGGCGCGGCCAGCACACCTGCGACGCCGCGCCCTTCAGCGCTCGGGAAACACCTGTCTGGGGGAGGTGGGACCGGAAACGCGTGTCTCCCGGCGCGCGCCGCCCACCCCCGCCGCCTGCCGTGCTGCAGGCGCCCGGCGGTCTCTCGGGTTCGGGCCCTTTAAGGCGGGTGGTTGCGGCAGCCGCGCTCGGGGCGGGGCAAACAATGCGCGCCACGCGGGGCCGGATCCGCAGCGGTAAGTAGGGGCGAGGCCCGCCTCGGGCTGGGCTGTGTCACTGCACTCCCGGTGTAGGACCCGTCCCACGTGGCTGGGGGTCCCGAAGGGCCCAGTGGACCGGCTGCCCGACCCCCACTTCCACCGGTTCCCGGAGCACTGGGGCCCGCCGGAAGCGAGTGAGTACCTGTCGGCCCTTAGGAGGGGGCCGGGGGGGGGGGGCGGGTTCGGGGGACTCGGGGCAGGCCTCCGAGCCGCGGACGCCCGAGTCCACCCGGGACCCCGGCTCTCGCTCTCCCCGCCGGCGACTCGGAATCCGCCAGTGTGTTTCACTTCCAGTCTCGGCGAGGTGGAGCTGCGTCGACCGTGTATATCCAGCTGGTGTCAAAAAGCCAGATAATCAAACCGTTAACACCCAGTCCAAGTGCTGGTTCGGGTCCTCGGCGGTAACTAGTGAACGCACTGAATTTAGAGGGGGTGGAGGGAACACCTAAGCAAAACAGCAGGAACTACCCTGCCGGCCGCAGCGGGCGGTAGCTGCAGTCTGCGTGGGCCTGGCCAGTTTAGAAACAGCCGCGTTCTCTGCGGCCCTGGGCTGTCAGCGCCGCTCCGCTCCGCTTCAAACGCGGCTGGGTTCGGAATTCACCCAGTGGTGACAGCAGAGTGCGTAGGGCATCCTGCAGGAGTTGCACGGTCTTGGGTTCTTGTGCCCAAAGACACCTTTTAGCATGGATTCAGGACTAAATTTCTCTCCCCAGAAGGGGAAGAGCCATGCAAAAGGAATTAGACAAAGGTTCCCCCCACCTGTGTTTCTTCTTTTGAACATGTAAAACGACCTTAAAAAAAACATTTGGAGCGATTTAAAAGAGAATGAGTATTTCTGGCCCTAGCGTCACGCGAGATTCTTTTGCCCAACAGCTTTGAGGGAGCAGAGAGCTGGATGCAGGTGACATGGCCCTGGTGCCCTACGAGGAGACAGCGGTAATGGGCTTGCAGAAATTCCACAAACCTCTTGCCACCTTCTCCTTTGCGAACCACACGATCCGGATCCGGCAGGACTGGAGACAGCTGGGAGTCGCCGCGGTGGTTTGGGACGCGGTAAGTAAGACCCTGGGGCCTCTTACCGCAATTGATTTTAAGACTGGCTTTCTTCTTCCTTTTTTTTTTTTTTAAATAACAGATTTATTGAGATATAATTTATATACCATACATTTCACCTGTTTATACAATTCTGTGATTTTTTTTTTAAAAGTAAATTCACTGAGAGATGTAACCATCACCATGGTCTATTTTAAAAACATTTTCATCCCCCAGCCCCTCCAAAAATACTTATACCCATTGGAATCTCTTACTTCCCTGCTCCCTCCCCCAGCCCCAAAATATTGCATTTTGAGGGTGAATAAAGGAAAGCTGAGGGAAAGTAAATTACTTGCCAGTAATATACCCAACAGGAAAGAGGGAGGGAGAGCTGGAAGGAAGGCAGGAAGCCCCTAACTGCTTTGGACTCTCATTAAATTAATTTTTCACTGAAGTTTCATTTTGAAAATATTGCACAAAGAATACTGTAAAAAGTGGGAGAGCCCAAAGTGAAGATCACATGTTTTCCTGAAGTTTTCCGTAGTTGTAATGGTCACAAAATTATACTATTAGTTGCTTTGTTTTACTTCTTCCTCTCACAGCACTGTTCTGTCAGCTTTTGTGACAGTGACTTGCCCTTAAGCAGCTCGCAGTGGGAACTCATTTAATGTTGAATAAATGATAGATGTAATTTTGTGGTCTTAACATTGCATTAGGGATGCTAGAGAAACATTCAGGTGTAAACATCTCAATGTATTATAGCCTCTTCTAGGAATCTAGTCCAAGGTGATTACATGGAAAGTATTCCCAGAACGACTAATAGGGCACATAATAGTGAGGAATGGGTGAGCCTTTTGAATGCTCACCAAGAAGAGGAATTGTTATTTATGCTACTAGTATGTGGCTGTGAAAGACAAATTCTGTTTAAAAATTATGTTAACAACATACAATGCTTTAAAAAAAAAAAAAATGTTTATTTTAGAGAGAGAGAGGGAGACAGGATCTGTGCTGACAGCACAGAGCCGAATGCGGGGCTTGAACCCGTGAACCGAACCATGAGATCATGACCTGAGCCAAAGTTGGACGCTTAACCGACTGAGCCACCCAGGCGCTCCTACAATGCTTTTATAGAATTGTATGCAAATGCTAACTCATGCATCAGGTGTCCAAAACTTTGGCCCAAACTTCCTTTCCCATGCCTGATAATATGTGGTGAGGGCCCCCAGTGATGCAGGACAACACGAGAGAAGCACCCAGCTCCAGGAGCCCCGGGTGGGAGCCACTCTGCCTCTTCCTTTGGGTGACATCGTGGCCTTGCTGCCTTGAACTTGGGTTAGGAACTGGACATCCCTTTAAGCAAAATCACAGAGACTGTTCGTGTAAGCTCCACCAGGGTCGTTTTGTAAACTTTAAGTGACACAGTAAGAAATGAAACTTCCCAGAATGAGCAGCACCCTATGTTGTGTGGGCAGCGTCATCGACCCCTGCTGTCCCCAGGAGGGACCTCGGTGGGGCCTAGGCTGCGTCCGCTCTAGGGTCATCTCCCAGCAGCAGCCGAGTTTCTGTGTGTGTTGTTAAACTGGGACTGCAACCTTGCAGAGGAGAGAGGGTGTGATGTCTTCCTGCCAGTGTAAAGCCCGTCTGAAACCCTTGGGGTCCTCCGGCACTCGTTGACACGCAACGCTGTGTTTTGACTCAGGCCGTCGTTCTCTCCGCGTATCTGGAGATGGGAGCTGTGGAGCTGAGGGGCCGCCGTGCGGTGGAGCTGGGGGCCGGCACCGGGCTGGTGGGCATAGTGGCTGCCCTGCTGGGTGAGTGCCGTATGCTGGCTCCCTCCTTTGCGAGTGGAGCTCATTGACAGGTGTGTTTGCTGCTTCCCTGACACAGACCCAGACCGGTTTTTCCTTTACTGGATGTTCTGTCCCCTGTACTTATGAGTCACCTGCTGGTGTCTTTAACTCCAGTAAGCCTCGTTTCTTCTCTCTCTCTCTCTCTCGCTCTCTCTCTTGCTCTCTCTCTCGCTGTTTCTCTCATCCTGTTATTTATACTTCCCATGAAAGACTGCTTTGCCCCCTTTGGTTGTTTGTTTGTTTGTTTGTTTTTGTTTTGTTTAAGCAAACACACGTTTATTTGGGCATTTAGAATTGCAATTCAGGAGACAATTGGGTTGTCTGAATTAGGTCCCTGCCCCTTTCAGTTTTATGCCAACAGTATGATCAGAAGGCAGTTTTCAGTTCAAAGAAAATTGTATTCATGTACATAGTTTTTTACACTTTATGGGCCTTCTTGTACTCTGTTGGATTTAACCCTGCGAGGCAGGTAGAACAGATAGTCTCATTCATTGCTGAGGAAACTTTGCTGGTTCGTCTCTTCTGAGAAGGGTCGGCCCTGCTGTAGTTTGTACTGACATCTTATATTTAAAAATTCTCTTCGCGGTATACAGTTCTGAATTGGTATCGAGGTTTGTCATTTTTTTTTGTTTGTTTGGTATACAAATATTAATTTAGGCCTACAGTATTTTTAAGCTTTGTTTTTATTTTGTTATTTATTGTTGACTGCTTTCTTCAGCTTCTGGCTCATGCCGTTCAAGCCACCCAGTGGGTAGACCAGCCTCTAACATATAATATATAACATTCATCACTTCAACATCGTCACCCAGTGCTCTTGTCAAAATGCAGCTTCTGCTTCTGTAGGTTGGGGTCAGGCCTGAGGACCTGCATATCTAACAACCTCCCAGGGGATGATGATGCAGACACTGTTGGTACTCAGGCCACACTTTGGTGGTGAGGAGCTAGAATTCCATTCCATTGTGGACAGGTGCTCGAGGACCCACTTAAGCCCCTCCTTTATTGTGTCCTCTTTCCGGTAACTTACTTCTTTTTTTAGTATTCTTTTCTGTGTTTAGATCTAGCCTTCCAAAATGTGGTGGGGAACATGGGCAGCATGGTAGTTAACGGTGTGTAAATGGATCTAGGTCTCCATCCAACACCACGGCACCTTCAGGTACTGATGAGGCCCTCGCTCGTACACTGCCTTTTGTTCTCCTCAGGTTAGCCTTACGGCATTCCCGTGGGTGTTAGGTTTCATTTTTTTATTTTGTTTTACTTTATTTTATTATTTACTTCATTATGTTATTTTTACAGAAAGAGAGCAAGTGTGCGTATGAGCATGGGAGGGGCAGAGACAGAGAGAGAGAGAGAAAATTTCAAGCAGGTTCCATGCCCATCGAGGAGCCCAACTCCGTTCCATCTCACAACCGCGAGATCATGACCTGAGCTGAAATCCAGAGTCCGATGCTTAAACTGACTGATCCACCCAGGCGCCCCACACTTAAAAATTTTTCATTTTGCCGGTGAAACTGGGGTTCTGGGAGGTTAAGTCACTTTGTGGAGTCCTGGTCAGTGGAGACCTGAGGACTCAAACCAGGTGCATCAGACACTTACTGTCTTTCCTTGACACTAAGTTTGCTGATGTGGGAGGAGTTAACTGGAAGGGAAATGAGGTTTCTTCTGTTTCCTCTGGACAAGCGGGTCTTCATGCGGAGCTGCGTTGGCTGGTGCAGAGACTTGCTAGTTGGCAAAGTGCATAGGTTTAGAGTTATACTTGGTTTTGACACCTTTTCTAACTCTTACTAGCTGTGTGACCTTGGGCAAGTTGCTTAATCTCTCCACTTCAGTTTCCCTATAAAATGGGGATAATAATCAGTTCCTGCCACATTGAGGATCCAATGAGATCATGCACAGAAATCAGCTCCTTGACTAGCGCAAAGTAAATGCTCAATAAATGTTAATTGCTCCTCTGAGTATATCTGTTTGTGATCTAGAAATGCAGATCTGTGAGGTTGGGTAAAACAGGATGATGAGGTTCTTTAAAGACTAGCACAGAGTGGGGGACTAGGTAGTTGTCGCCCCACAAGACGATCGGCTTTGGGAGTGGGCTGGGACAGAACAGCACGGTGTTCTCTCGTGACTGGGGGGAGGTGCGCTTCCTGGCCTGGCTTCACCGCCCCCTCTTTCAATCCTTTCCTGCCGCGGAGCAGAATTCATTGCTGCCTTATTTCTTCTCCCCACAGCCCTTGGTATACTTGCCATGTTGTCCCGGCCTTTCTTACAAGCCCGTGTTTCTTGTGTCTGTCTCTCCTGAGGCTTGGGACTGTGTCTCATCCTGTGTGTCCTTGGCCCCAGCCAGACTCCACTTGCCATGCGGTAGATACTCAAATAGTTCTGGAATAAGAGTTGGGCAAACTGGAAAATCATGAAAAGTAATGTTTCTCTTACAAAAGTGATGTAACTCTTTTCAAAAATAGCCCTAGAAATCGAATAAAGGGGGAAAAAGCCTAAAACATTCTAGTTCTTCATGACTCTGCAACATAAGTACTGTTAGCATTTTGGTTTATTTCCTTCCATTCTTTTGCTTCCACTTGTTTTTTTTTCTTAATTTTTTTTTTAATGTTTATTTACTTTTGAGAGAGACAGAGACAGAATGCGAGTGGGTTAGGGGCAGAGAGAGAGGGGGACACAGATCTGAAGCAGGATCCAGGCTCTAAGCTGTCAGCACAGAGCCCGACGCGGGGCTCGAACTCACAAGCTGTGAGATCTTGACCTGAGCTGAAGTCGGACGCTCTACCCACTGAGCCCCCCAGGCGCCCCTCCACTTGTATATTTAATCACAGTTGTAATCGTGGTTATAGAGGTGTGTGTATGTGTGTGTATGCACCTATGTATGTACGTACACATATGTGTGTCTCATTTCATGTTCTGTCGTGCGCACCTCTCTGCACTCCTATGTGATTTGCACACCCGTTATTGTTGTGACTGCAAAGTATAAGGCATTGCTTTTTAGGGTGAGACCTGAGGGTAAGAAAAAGTTACTCTCTTTAGAATGGAGGCAGCGAGAACTAGAATAGGTGGTGATTTTTTTTTTTTTTTAATTTTTTTTTTTTTCAACGTTTATTTATTTTTGGGACAGAGAATTTTTTTTTTTTTCAATGTTTTTTATTTATTTTTGGGACAGAGAGAGACAGAGCATGAACGGGGGAGGGGCAGAGAGAGAGGGAGACACAGAATCGGAAACAGGCTCCAGGCTCTGAGCCATCAGCCCAGAGCCTGACGCGGGGCTCCAACTCACGGACCGCGAGATCGTGACCTGGCTGAAGTCGGACGCTTAACTGACTGCGCCACTCAGGCGCCCCGAATAGGTGGTGATTTTGAATGTGTCAGAGGTTGATTGTTCTCCTTTTTAAAAAGGTATTTTCATTTTTCGTTACCCGAATCATTTATTCCCAAATTCAGGGAACACCCACCATATGCCAGGCCTGGGTTTAGGTGCTGAGGCTTCCGGTCTTCTCAGGAAGCTTCCATTCTAATTCTGATGGGGAGGAAGGAAAAGACAGATTCTATTAAAAAGCCAGGGAAAAAAACCCGGCAAGTTCTATGCAGAACTTGAATAATGGGTGATGAGATTTTCCTATTAAAAGAAAAAAACAGCTTTTAATTACTGGGCAGTTCCCACATTCTGTCTATTTAGTCTGTCCTTCTCACTGTGCCCCCCTGCCTGGTGGGTAGGTCTACTTCGAGCTCTCTTCCCCTCGGTAAATGAAGGCTTAACAGAGGTTAGGTAACTTGCACAAGGTCACAACACTCCTGGATTGTGGAGTTAGAATTGGAATGCTGTTCTGACTCATACCCTCGTCCTTAGTTTGAAAATCTCTTTATACTGTGTGGAAAGTATTCTTAGAAAAAATCATCCCATTTTTTTTTTTTTTGTTGTCAACGCGATGGCTTTTTTTGGGACAGAGACAGAGCACGAACGGGGAGGGGTGGAGAGAGAGGGAGACACAGAATCGAAATAGGCCCCAGGCTCTGAGCCATCAGCCCAGAGCCTGACGCTGGGCTCGAACTCACAGACCGCTGCAGATCGTGACCTGGCTGAAGTCGGACGCTAACCGACCGCGCTTCACCCAGGCTAAAATCATCCCACGTGAAGATAGGTTCTGCTGGGGTGGGGTCAGGGAATGTGGTTTTTTGTTTTTTTTTAATTAAAAATTTTTTTTTTTCTTTTTGGTGTTTATTTTTAAAAAATTTTTTTTTTTTCAACGTTTATTATTTTTTGGGACAGAGAGACAGAGCATGAACGGGAGGGCAGAGAGAGAGGGAGACACAGAATCGAAATAGCTCCAGGCCTGGTTTCGTCAGCCCAGAGCTCGATCGCCTCAACTCGACCGCGATCGGACCTGGCTGGTCGGACGCTTGAACTGACAGCGCCCACCCAGGCGCTTCCTGCAAGCTTATTTTTTTTTTTTTTAGGAGAGCACAAGCAAGGGAGGGACAGAGAGAGGGAGACAGAATGTGAAGCAGGCACCAGGCCTCCGAAGGTCAGCACAGAGTCATGGGGCTCGAACCCACAAACCATGAGATCGTGACCTGAGCTGAAGTTGGACCCTTAAACACTTAACTGACTGAGCCACCCAGGCCCCTGGGAATCTGGGTTTTAAAGGCTTCTGAGGTGATTTGATGCTCAACCAAGTCTGGGGAAGAGTCTTAAAATATGCTCAGGAAGAAGTTGTCTTAGTTTTCTGTACTTGTAGTGTAAATCTCCACTGGGCTTTCCACTTGTGTGTATGTTTCACTGAAGGCTGGGCATCTCTACCTGCCTGTTTCTCAGCGCCTCAAACAGTATGTGTGTTTAAACTTGAACTCTTCTTCCCTTTGCAAACTCGACCTTTTGTTCTCTTGAGTTAGTGTGGCCATCCAAGTACGCACTCAGGCCCACCCCTTGACCCGCTACGCCTATAGCTCCCCCCCCCCCCCAT